GAGAAACATGCCACAGAAAATAAGGTATGAATCATATTCTGCTTTACTAAAATATAGAGGTTCTACCATCCAGTAAGCTGCTCTATAGTAAAGACAATTTCTTCTTTAACCTTGTAGGTAAAAAACCTCACAGAAGAGATGGCAGGCCTGGATGAGACCATCGCTAAGTTGACCAAGGAGAAGAAGGCCCTCCAAGAGGCCCACCAGCAGACCCTGGATGACCTGCAGGCAGAAGAGGACAAAGTCAACACCCTGACCAAAGCTAAAACCAAGCTGGAGCAGCAAGTGGATGATGTAAGTCTAACATCATGTAAATGGGTTTTTTGGGTTTTGTTTAGTTTTTTTTAATTTTGTAACAAACTAAGTGTGCATGAGTTTGCATTCTTAAGATGTAATGAGTACTTTTCAAGTGTTTTCAATGAAGAAGTGGTATAGGACATTATCCCTGCTATAAGAACTAAGATGGACACACAAGTAAAAAAAAAAGTTAGTTGTAATAGATAATATGGGTAAAAAGAATTTGGGGGATGGAAGTTTAATGTGTTCATTAAGAAAAGTTGTACAAACAAAATGCACCTTTAGCTGGGCTTGAAAGGTGAGAGGCTGTGGGAAGTTATAGAAGAGAGAGTGTGCTCTGAGCGTGAAGTATAGCAAGAGCAAAGAAGCCATAATGATCCGTACAGTTTTCTCTCACAGGAGAAAGGGGGATTCCAAATAAGGAATGTGGAAGATAAATGTGGCTTTAAACATGATCTGACATTGAATCGAGAACCCACTGTAAATGTCTGAGTCAGGGAGGAATTGACAAAGGTCATGTTTGGAACCATGGCTATAGTGTCCATTCCCTGTGATGAAGCACTGATCACATGGATTCCAGTGGGGAGATAGAAAAGACATGATGTCTCCCCACTAGTTTACATAAAAATATGGTATTGAGATACATTTCTCCTTTTAAATGGTGAATCCTTGGATTAGGGAAATAGCAATGAAATTGAAATAGATGGGGCAAATTTGCCTGATTCAAAGAAAAATCAAAAGCATTTGCTGATTAGATATGAGTTAAATGTTTACAAGCTCAACATGGGACAAAAGGTGGGAACATCCCAGGAACGGTATTCATGAATTATTAACTTTTAGCTTGAAGGGTCTTTGGAACAAGAAAAGAAAATGCGGATGGATCTAGAAAGAGCAAAGAGGAAACTGGAGGGTGACCTAAAATTGGCCCAAGAATCCACAATGGATGTAGAAAATGACAAGCAGCAGCTTGATGAAAAGCTCAAAAAGTAAGCAGCAAGGACAAAGGTTTCATGGGGAAATTACTGTTAATAGTCCTGTGACTGACATAAAGTGCTTTTCTGATAGGAAAGAGTTTGAAATGAGCAACCTGCAAAGCAAGATTGAAGATGAACAGGCCCTTGGGATGCAGCTGCAGAAGAAGATCAAGGAACTACAGGTAAGGTCGTGACTTCCATCCGTCTAATTCAACCTGACAAAATTACTAACACAGAGAAGCTCAGTTTGTGGCTTTCCCCACTCCCAGGCCCGCATTGAGGAGCTGGAGGAGGAAATCGAGGCTGAGCGGGCCTCTAGGGCCAAAGCAGAGAAGCAGCGCTCTGACCTCTCCCGGGAACTGGAGGAGATCAGCGAGCGCCTGGAAGAAGCCGGCGGGGCAACTTCAGCCCAGATTGAGATGAACAAGAAGAGGGAGGCTGAGTTCCAGAAAATGCGCAGGGACCTGGAGGAGGCCACCCTGCAGCATGAAGCCACGGCGGCCACCCTGAGGAAGAAGCACGCGGACAGCGTAGCTGAGCTCGGGGAGCAGATCGACAACCTGCAGAGGGTCAAGCAGAAGCTGGAGAAGGAGAAGAGCGAGATGAAGATGGAGATCGATGACCTCGCTAGCAATATGGAGACTGTCTCCAAAGCCAAGGTGCAGTCATGGATTAAGTCTTAAAGAGATTTCTGTAAGACAGGTGTGAGTGGGCCTTTCCGGAACCATTATTATAATAACTGGCAGGAGGAGACTATGGCAGGTCAAGGCAGGAGACTGGTCGGAGGGAGCAGCAACTCAGGTGTGACGGGACAAAGCACTCACTCTTTATGGGAATAGAGCCATACCCAAAATGCATAGTGAAAACTTAAGCTCTTTCAAATAAAAATAGTGTGATTCAACTATACATTTTGAGCTTCTAAAAACACCTTACCTTGATTAGCCTTTCTTGCTTTTCTCTTAAGCACAAATACATAATTTGCTTCTCTAAAAAATCTCATGAGCTGAATCAAGTATCATTATTCTCATATCACAGATAAGCTAATTGAGTAAAGGCAGATTCACAAAGTGATTTAGTGGCAACACGTTTAGACTATGTATCTTGTTACTCTTCCCATCACAATCTAAGACTTCTGTTGTTTTTGTGTGTTTGTAAAGGTAGTTTATTCTCAAAATAAATGAGTACTGCAGCTCCTATGGAATAATTTGGACTACTGAAAATTTCTGTGGTCCAAACACTTGCTTGAGATGGCTTTTACCACTTTTTGAATGCAGGGAAACCTTGAGAAGATGTGCCGCACTCTAGAAGATCAACTGAGTGAACTTAAGACAAAGGAAGAAGAGCAGCAGCGGCTGATCAATGACCTGACGGCTCAGAGAGCGCGCCTGCAGACAGAGTCAGGTGAGCCATTTCCCAGTGTTGACCTTGAATGATAAGTTTACCTTGGATGCTCAATTTGCTGAAAAAGTGCATTGAGTTCCTTGAGATCACATATTATCTTCCTGTGAAGTACTCACTCATATGAACTCCTTCTTGACCACTGGCATGGAATGCTTTCCTTTTGTTTTTCTTTGTTTTGTTGGTTAGTTGGTTGTTTTCTTTTTTGTTTTGTTTTGGTTTTTTTGTGGGTTTAGTTTGTTTGTTTGTTTTGTAATAAAAAGATCCAAAACATTTTAAAGCAGATTTTATTATAATAAAAAAGACAACAGTTTAGTGGCTACCAGAGGGTAAGGGAGGAGGGGGGTAGTGGTAGAAGAGGGAAAAGGGGGTCAAATATATGGTGATGGAAGGAGAACTGACTCTGGGTGGTGAACACATAATGCAATATGTAGATAGTATATTATAGAAATGCACACTTAAAATCTATATAATTTTATTAACCAATGTCACCCCAATAAATTTAATATAAATTTTAAAAAGTTAACAAATAAAAAGTATATCCTCACAGTATTTATTTCCACTTTTCAAAATGCTTCCAGTGTCCATCTGGCACCTTACATGATCTTTACAACATTGTAAATTATAGTCTCCATTCTGTATTTCAAAACCCCATGTTTTGTTGGTTTGATTTACATTATTTTTTACATTTTTCTTCATCAATTTATACTGTGATCAAATAATCTTAAATATCTCCCAAAATCTTTTGTATTGTTCATAAGCATGTAATGTGCCTCAGTGTGTCCCATACTTTTCGTTTTTTGCATAGATTTTCTCATCAGCATTGAAGTAGATGTTGGTAGTTTGTTGTAATTTATGCTGTCCATCCTGTTTCAGATTCAGTCCCCCTTGCCCTGCTCCAGTTTCTATTAGCTCCAGTTTCAATTTAGTGCTTTCATTTCCAAGGTAAGGTTGAGTTTTCTGGGTCTTGGTCTTTATACAGGTGAATACTCACGCCAGCTGGATGAAAAGGACTCATTAGTCTCTCAGCTCTCAAGGGGCAAACAAGCATTCACACAACAGATTGAGGAACTAAAACGGCAGCTTGAAGAGGAGATCAAGGTAAGTGAGCCCTGCTGATGTTGTTATTCTTGCCATTATCCTTGTTTTTGAGGTTGTTTATGTTTTGCTTGCTTCTACAGATTTTTTTTTCTGGTGGCCTATAGGAGTTAAGGGACTAAATATCACTTTAAAGATATAAAACTAAGTCACTAATCTCTATGTTCTCAGGCCAAGAGTGCTTTGGCCCATGCCCTGCAGTCTGCCCGCCATGACTGTGACCTGCTGCGGGAACAGTACGAGGAGGAACAGGAAGGTAAAGCCGAGCTGCAGAGGGCAATGTCCAAGGCCAACAGCGAGGTTGCCCAGTGGAGGACCAAATACGAGACAGACGCCATCCAGCGCACAGAGGAGCTGGAGGAGGCCAAGTATGTTCTAGACTTAGTTACAATAGAAATCTCTGCATTAACAATCAAAGTACATCTGCTATAAGTACTAAATGGGCTAATGCCCACTGCTCCCAAAACAAATAAAAAACTAGGAAAAAACCATGGATGAACATAAACTAAACAAGATAACAAATACTCTGGGTTGTCTAAAGAAAGAAATTACTAAGCTAGAGGCTGGAAAGAGAAAGGACATAAGGCTCTGGGTGGTGAGCACACAATGTGATCTATAGATGATGTATTACAGAATTGTACACTTCAAACCTATCTGATTTTACTAACCATTGTTACCTCCAATAAATTTAATTTTCTAAAAAAGAGAAAGGACATAAGGCAAAAGGCAGCTGAATAATTATTTCTATACATCCTTCTATCTATACAAATGTAGACAGAATAAGAGTTAATTGGGGCCGGCCGAGTGACTCAATTAAGAGTTAGCTTAAGAGCATGAACTCTGAGCAACAGGGCCACTGGTTCGATTCCCACATGGGCCAGTGATGCTGCACCCTAGGTGAGCTGCCCCTGAGCTCCCAACAAGTGGCACGATGGCTCAGCTGGTGAGAGCACGTGCTCTTAACAACAAGACTGCCTGTTCAATGGTGGGCTACACCCGCATGCAACTAAGACTGAACTTGGCCCCTTGAGCTGAGCTGCCACTCGGATGGCTCAGTGGATAGAGCACGCAGTCTTAACAACAAGGCTGCCGGGTTCGACTCCCGCATGGGATGGTGGCTATGCCCACCCACAACTAGGACTGAACACAGCACCTTGAGCTTAGAGGCCATGAGCTGCTGACGGGCAGCCAGATGGCGACTGGCATCCTCCACAGCTAAGATTGAAGAACAACAACTTGGCTGGTCCCCCTTCCCAATTCCCCAACACTGTTCCCCTCCCAAAATTCTCCAATTAAAAGAAAGAAGAAAAAGAGCTAATTGTATTCTCCTATGCCTCTCCTCCCTCTAAGCAACTAACAAAAGCATTGGTTCAATGTGATAGGTAAGTTAGAGAAAAATCATCAGGCTTTAAAGCACAGTTCCTCCTTTTGAGATGTGAAAATATGATTATGTTGAAAAAGAGGGGGAAAATATATTGTTAGAGAGTAAAAGTAGACATCAAATTCTGTAATAAGAAAGAAAACAAATTGTTTTATAAAGGACTAAATATTTAATGCAATAAAAAGTTCAAGGCTGAACTGTAAGAGGGAAAACCTGAACAGGAAGGGAACTGTCTATTATTCAATAGACAGTCTAAGGAGAGATCTAGATATATATACAACCATATAGTTGGAATTATTTTTGAATTATAGTTGGAATAATATTTTGGTGGAAGAGTTTCTGAGCAGATCACTCAAAGCAAAATTTATGTTGATTTGGGAAAGCTTCTTTTTTTTTTAAGATTTTATTGGGGAATCGGGGAAGGGAAACAGACAAGTTGCTGTCCTTTTGTTGTTCAGTCTCGTTGTGGAGGATGTCACTTCACTGGCCCATGTTGGTATTATCATTGTACTCTTCCCGGGTGAGGCAGTCACTCGCTGGCCACTGGACAGCCACTCATGGCAGCTCACAGCAGCTCATGCCCACTGCCAGCCAGCCCCACTGCAGCCTACACCATCATTGGCACTCACAGCAGCCCAGCTCCAGGTTGAGCTGTTGTTCACCATCTTAGCTGTAGAGGGCGCAGTGTCACTGGCCCTAATGTCGGATCCAAACCCGGGTCCTGCTGCTCAGAGCTGGCGTCCCAAGACAGCTCTTTTTTTTATTTTTTTTAAAGATTTTATTGGGGAATCGGGGAAGGGGAACAGACAAGTTGCTGTCCTTTTGTTCTTCAGTCTAGTTGTGGAGGACGTCGCTTCACTGGCCCATGTTGGTATATCATTGCACTCTTCCCGAGTGAGGCAGATCGGTCCCCGGCCACTGATCGGCCGCTCCTGGTGGCTCTTGGCAGCACACACTGGCTGCCAGCTGCTCACGCTGGCTGCCAGCCACACATGGTAGCTTATGGCAGCCCACTGCAGCAGGGGCTGCAGGCTACACCGTCGCCAGCGACTCACAGCAGCCCAGCTCCAGATTTAGCTGTTGTTCACCATCTTAGCTATAGAGGGCAGTGTCACTGGCCCTCATGTGGGATCCGAACCGGGGTCCTGCTGCTCAGAGCTGGTGTCCCAAGCCAGCTCTTAACCAACAAGCCACTCCGCTGGCCCCCAAGCCAACTCTTATCCAATGTGCCACTTGGCTGGCTCAGGAAAGCTTCCTTTTATTAAAGGGTTAATGAAAAGCTAGGAAAATAAGGAATACAATTAATTAGACAAAATCAAGTATATTTTATGTGAATTCAATTAATATAATGTTTGAATACTTAATATGTGTGAGAACCTATTAGAAAACAAAGATTAGCAAAATACAGACTATCCTCTGGAGATCAAAATTCAATGGAGACAAGACATAAAATAACAGTAATTCAAGCTAGTTATTAATCTCTTATAAAGGAGTCATAAACCAGTTACTTAAAGAGTAACATGCTAGCTTGGACTGATCATTGTTTTAAAGCCAGACTACGAAGCATGGCAATACTGAAATTTGGGTTGTTTTCAGTATTTGGTTGGTAGAAGAGTGGGAATAAGTTAATACAGAACCAGACCTACAAAACAAACTTGAAAAACAAAGTATTACAGAGTCTGACTGTGGAAATCACTCTCATGTACCCACTTTGAAACGCTCGATTCCACTGATGTCCATTCACACCTATTGTCCTGGTTTCACTTTTCAGGAAGAAGCTGGCCCAGCGGCTGCAGGATGCGGAGGAACATGTAGAAGCCGTGAATGCCAAATGTGCCTCCCTGGAGAAGACCAAGCAGCGGTTACAGAATGAGGTTGAGGACCTCATGATTGATGTTGAGAGAACAAACGCTGCCTGTGCAGCCCTGGACAAAAAGCAGAGGAACTTTGATAAGGTATTCTGCACCATGATTAAAGATAGCCTGCTATTTTCAGTGTCCCTTATTCAAACCATCTGAGGGCTGTTCTCAGTAGCTCCATGAGTAGCTAGGGGAGGGAATGTCCTGTGGCTTCTACTCTTCTCATTCATAATTATTTTTCATTCCAACATTATCTCAGCTCTGTTTGAGAGTTGCCAGAACAATAGTTTCATTCCATCAAGCTTTCTCCATTAAATTCCTTGACCATTCCTTGCCCCTCAGGTCCTGGCAGAATGGAAACAGAAGTATGAAGAAACTCATGCCGAACTCGAAGCTTCTCAGAAGGAATCCCGCTCACTCAGCACAGAGCTGTTCAAGCTTAAGAATGCTTATGAGGAATCCCTAGACCAACTTGAAACCTTCAAGCGGGAAAATAAGAATTTGCAACGTGAGTACATGTTACCTTTTCTTCAACGGAAGAGTGAGAAGAATGTTTTCCCTCACTGAGTTAATTTTTATATTTTTTGTTTACTAACAGAGGAGATTTCTGATCTCACGGAGCAGATTGCAGAAGGAGGGAAACGTATCCATGAACTGGAAAAAATAAAGAAACAAATCGAGCAAGAGAA